ATAAGTTAGACAGTCCTCGATGACGCACTGACTTTCTTGGGTTATCCTGGGTGGCTAACCCTTCGGGGTTAAAAATCCGAACGAAATCTTATCTTATCTTAAGAGTTGTAAAGAAATGGGATGAATTGAAGAATGACACAGTGGAGACAACTCCATGCAGAGACTAAGTGTGTTGTGACCCCCTAAGATGGTGGAATATTTAGAAGTGTGGCCAAGACCTAACCCCTCCACCCCACCCCTTCACATACTCTTATAGGTAATTGTAAGTACATAATAACACAAAGATGGAGGTTGAAAAACTCTGCTCGAGACACGAGTTTGCTCTTACCTCGAGTGTGGTGGTGGTGGTGGTGGTGGTGGTGGTGGTGGTGGTGGTGGTGGTGGTGGTGGTGGTGGTGGTGGTGGTGGTGGTGGTGGTGCTGCTGCTGCTGCTGCTGCCTGGCTGCTGCTGCTGCTGCTTGCTGTGCTGCTGCTTGCTGCTGCTGCTGCTGCTGCTGCTGCTGCTGCTGCTGCTGCTGCTGCTGCTGCTGCTGCTGCTGCTGCTGCTGCTGCGCTGCTGCTGCTGCTGCTGCTGCTGCACTGCTGCTGCTGCTGCTGCTGCTGCTGCTGCTGCTGCTGCTGCTGCTGCTGCTGCTGCTGCTGCTGCTGCTGCTGCTGCTGCTGCTGCTGCTGCTGCTGCTGCTGCTGCTGCTGCTGCTGCTGCTGTGCTGCTGCTGCTGCTGCATGCTGCTGCTGCTGCTGCTGCTGCTGCTGCTGCTGCTGCTGCTGCTGCTGCTGCTGCTGCTGCACTGTTTGTCTGCCCTTCCATCATCTCGACTGCTTCTGGACACACTACAGGATGATCTACAGCCATTTATTCCTAGTCTGGACCTACTTTGGATGGATCTGGCCTTTTAGCAGAGCCTTAAACACCTTACAGACGAGGTGGCCTTGTTATGTATAAGGTCAACGTTATGTATCACACTTGGCTCCTTCGTGGACTGTACGAAGACAGTTTCTATACCACAAGACGGGCAGCAAACAACAGAATTTGTTCGTACAACACACAGATATTAATGAAATAACCACAATAGCCACAACTTTATCTTCTTTCCTATTTTTTTTTTGGTTTTACATCTTAAAATCTTAATTAAGTTAATGTTAGCAAAAGTTTTTTTCTTTAGTGAACCGAGGGAGGTAAAAGTTTTTGGCTTGTCGGTAAAGATAGAAAATTGTAGCCGTAACCAGTGGCGGACCGACATTTTTTGGGACCCTCAAACTTGAATTGTTATGGGGGCCCCTTCGCAACCCCTTCTCATACAGTAAACCCGAAATTTTTAAGCATTATGGACTAAAGTGGCTTCTGGGGCCCCTCCTGGATTAGGGGCCCTGAAGCCTAATATTCATTAGTTCATAATAGATCCGCCCCTGACCTTAACATGAAGAATCAGTCAGCACACAATAGATGAATAGATATACAAACTAAGACATGATTTACAGCTGGAAGTCGACAGTGAAAAAGAAAAACGTTAAGATTATTATTATTATTATTATTATTATTATTATTATTATTATTATTATTATTATTATTCAAAACTAAGTACACCGGCAGTGTGGTAGCAGCCTCTTCTGTCAGGTAGTTACATACGGAAGCACAGGCTGGTTGTTTATATTCCATCACACAGGGTAGGTGTTATGTACCATCACACAGGGTAGATGTTATGTACCGTCACACAGGGTAGATGTTATGTACCATCACACAGGGTAGGTGTTATGTACCATCACACAGGGTAGGTGTTATGTACCATCACACAGGGTAGATGTTATGTACCGTCACACAGGGTAGGTGTTATGTACCATCACACAGGGTAGGTGTTATGTACCATCACACAGGGTAGATGTTGTGTACCATCACACAGGGTAGATGTTGTGTACCATCACACAGGGTAGATGTTATGTACCATCACACAGGGTAGATGTTATGTACCATCACACAGGGTAGGTGTTATGTACCATCACACAGGGTAGATGTTATTGTATCCATCACACAAGGTAGGTGTTATGTACCGTCACACAGGGTAGATGTTATGTACCATCACACAGGGTAGGTGTTATGTACCATCACACAGGGTAGATGTTATGTACCATCACACAAGGTAGGTGTTATGTACCGTCACACAGGGTAGATGTTATGTACCATCACACAGGGTAGGTGTTATGTACCATCACACAGGGTAGATGTTATGTACCATCACACAGGGTAGATGTTATGTACCATCACACAGGGTAGATGTTATGTACCATCACACAGGGTAGGTGGTATGTACCATCACACAGGGTAGATGTTATGTACCATCACACAGGGTAGGTGTTATGTACCATCACACAGGGTAGATGTTATGTACCATCACACAGGGTAGGTGTTATGTACCATCACACAGGGTAGGTGTTATGTACCATCACACAGGGTAGGTGTTATGTACCATCACACAGGGTAGATGTTATGTACCGTCACACAGGGTAGATGTTATGTACCGTCACACAGGGTAGGTGTTATGTACCATCACACAGGGTAGGTGTTATGTACCATCACACAGGGTAGGTGTTATGTACCATCACACAGGGTAGATGTATGTACCATCACACAGGGTAGGTGTTATGTACCATCACACAGGGTAGGTGTTATGTACCATCACACAGGGTAGGTGTTATGTACCATCACACAGGGTAGATGTTATGTACCGTCACACAGGGTAGATGTTATGTACCGTCACACAGGGTAGGTGTTATGTACCATCACACAGGGTAGGTGTTATGTACCATCACACAGGGTAGGTGTTATGTACCATCACACAGGGTAGATGTTATGTACCATCACACAGGGTAGGTGTTATGTACCATCACACAGGGTAGATGTTATGTACCATCACACAGGGTAGGTGTTATGTACCATCACACAGGGTAGGTGTTATGTACCATCACACAGGGTAGATGTTATGTACCGTCACACAGGGTAGGTGTTATGTACCATCACACAGGGTAGGTGTTATGTACCATCACACAGGGTAGATGTTGTGTACCATCACACAGGGTAGATGTTGTGTACCATCACACAGGGTAGATGTTATGTACCATCACACAGGGTAGATGTTATGTACCATCACACAGGGTAGGTGTTATGTACCATCACACAGGGTAGATGTTATGTACCATTACACAGGGTAGATGTTATGTACCATCACACAGGGTAGGTGTTATGTACCATCGCACAGGGTAGGTGTTATGTACCATCACACAGGGTAGATGTTATGTACCATCACACAGGGTAGGTGTTATGTACCGTCACACAGGGTAGATGTTATGTACCATTACACAGGGTAGCTGTTATGTACCATCACACAGGGTAGGTGTTATGTACCATCACACAGGGTAGATGTTATGTACCATTACACAGGGTAGATGTTATGTACCATCACACAGGGTAGGTGTTATGTACCATCGCACAGGGTAGGTGTTATGTACCATCACACAGGGTAGATGTTATGTACCATTACACAGGGTAGATGTTATGTACCATCACACAGGGTAGGTGTTATGTACCATCACACAGGGTAGGTGTTATGTACCATCACACAGGGTAGGTGTTATGTACCATCACACAGGGTAGATGTTATGTACCATCACACAAGGTAGATGTTATGTACCATCACACAGGGTAGATGTTATGTACCATCACACAGGGTAGATGTTATGTACCATCACACAGGGTAGATGTTATGTACCATCACACGGGTAGATGTTATGTACCATCACACAGGGTAGATGTTATGTTACCATCACACAGGGTAGATGTTATGTACCATCACACAGGGTAGATGTTATGTACCATCACACAGGGTAGATGTTATGTACCATCACACAGGGTAGATGTTATGTACCATCACACAGGGTAGATGTTATGTACCATCACACAGGGTAGATGTTATGTACCATCACACAGGGTAGATGTTATGTACCATCACACAGGGGTAGATGTTATGTACCATCACACAGGGTAGATGTTATGTACCATCACACAGGGTAGATGTTATGTACCATCACACAGGGTAGGTGTTATAATGGGAGACTTAAGTAAAGGGGTGACTATATCAAATATAGCAGTACGCGTTAAGTCGCTGTGGCAGCTTGTGTTACTGTCACTTGTGTGAAGACAAAGGCAGGCAGGTGAAGCGAGTGGATGAACTTGAAGAAGAAAACAAGGGAAAAATCAGATTGTACCTTGTATGTTAGAAGGTAAATGTATAAGGATGGAATGTTAGACTTAACGTGGATCAAACAAAGTGTTTATTGCAGCCTCTGAAAATGTCAAGATTCACCTTGCTTAAACTTTGCTAGGTTATATAAAAAGTTGTGTAATATATAATTATCTGTCTATAATTACTTTTATTCAGTGTTGTTAATGGTTATGTCAGAGTACATGTGGTATTTGTAAAGTAGTTATCTAGACTTGAATTATTGAAAATTGTGAGGTGAGTTATTTTGAGGTCGATACTTTTTCTTCTCAGAGTGACAGTTGACCTGGTATATTTATATTTATTTGATCAGTCACTTCCTAGTAATGTAAAAAAAACAACATTCTATAAAGCTTTTATTGAATATTTACTTATGTTACTCAAAAGTCTCTTAATGTGCTAAAGTTGTATGTACTTAAGTACTACATTATAATACAGTAACACTAACAACAAGGGTCTTTAATTAGCTTATAAATCTCTTAAGTGTATGCACATTACTGAGGCTACCACTTACTTGTGCACTAAAATCAAGAATAATCTCTAAAATATATACATTAGTCAATTTTCAGCCTACATACACCGAGAAATGCACACGACTTGATGTATATACACTGGGTGATACACACCTCGGCGTTTACCTGTATATATACACTAGTGATGTGTGTATACTCCCTGTAGTAGGTTCCCTGGTGTATACTCCCCCAAGTATAGCTAAAATCTCGATCACAGGTGAGACAGAACTGGTGGCACAGGCACAAGAGGGACAGCACAGCCTGGGAGGCGTGGCTCTGGCACTATACTCTGGACTGTTTGCCTACGGCGGCTGGAACTATCTCAACTTTGTCACTGAGGAACTTAAAGACCCCCACCGGTAGGTCTTGTAACCTGTGTCATCCAGGACCCCCACAGGTAGGTCCTGTAACCTGTGTCATCCAGGATCCACACAGGTATGTATTGTAACCTATGTCATCCAGGACCCCCACAGGTAGGTCCTGTAACCTGTGTCATCCAGGACCCCCACAGGTAGGTCCTGTAACCTGTGTCATCCAGGATCCACACAGGTACGTATTGTAACCTATGTCATCCAGGACCCCCACAGGTAGGTCCTGTAACCTGTGTCATCCAGAACCCCCACAGGTAGGTCCTGTAACCTGTGTCATCCAGGACCCCCACAGGTAGGTCCTGTAACCTGTGTCATCCAGGACCCCCACAGGTAGGTGTTGTCATCACAGTCTTCTAGTGTCCTACACTGGTAGTTTACATTAATCACTATTTTAAGTATTAGGTAGTGACTGGTGTTGTACAGGTGACATGCAGGCTTAATGACCCTCGTGTAGTGACTGGTGTTGTACAGGTGAATTACCCTTAATGCCCCTCGTGAAAGTGACGGGTGTTGTACGGTGACATGTAGCCTTATGCCCCCTGTGTAGTGAGGGTGTTTACGGGTGAATGTACCCTTTAAATGCCCCCTGTGTAGTGATGGTGTTGTACGGGTACATTAGCCTTAATGCCCCTGTGTAGGACTGGTGTTGTACAGGTGACATGTAGCCTTATGACCCCGTGTAGGATGGTGTTGTAAGTGCATGCACCCTTTAAATACCCTTTAGTGACTGGTTTTTTACGGTGCTGTACCTTAAAACCCTTGTTATGACAGGTGGTGTACAGGGGGAGCAGCCTTAATGACCCTGTGTAGGCAGGGGGTGTACAGGGACATGCACCCTTAATGCCTTCGTGTAGTGCTGGTGTTGTACGGGTGACATGTACCCTTAATGACCCTCGTGTAGTGATGGTGTTTAATTTGCATGTAGCCTTAAGCCCCTCGTGAGGGGCTGGTGTTGTACAGGTGACTTTTCCTTAATGACCCTGGTAGTGAGGGTGTTGTCACGTCATGACCCTTGATGCCCCTCGTGTGTGAGGGGTGGTTCGGGGTGCTGCAGCCTTAATGACCCTAGTGTAGTGCTGGTGTTGTACAGGTAAATTACCCTTTAAAATGCCCTTGTGTAGTGACAGGTGGTTTGTACGGTGACATGCACCCTTAAATGCCCTCGTGTATGACAGGTGGGTCAGGTGCATGCACCCCTTAATGCCCCTCGTTTTTGGCGGGTGATGTAAGGTGAATGCCCTTAATGACCCTCGGTAGTGAAGGTGGTTAAGGTGCATGCACCCTTTTAATGCCCTCGTGTGTGACGGGTGTTGTACAGGTGCATGCACCTTAATGACCCTCGTGTAGTGACTGGTGTGTAAAAAGTGACATGCAGCCTTAATGACCCTCGTGTAGTGACGGGTGTTGTACGGGTGAAGTACCCTTTAATGCCCCCTTAGTGATGGTGTTGTACAGGTGACATGCACCCTTAAAAGACCCCTGTAGGACTGGTGTTGTCGGGTGACATGCAGCCTTAAGACCCCCAGTAGTGACTGGTGTTACAGGTGACATCCCCTTTAAGACCCTAGTGTAGTGATGGTGTTGTACAGGTGACATGCAGCCTTAATGCCCTATGTAGGACTGGTGTTGTACGGGTGACATGCACCCTAATGCCCCCTGTGTAGTGCAGGGGGTGTACAGGTGCATGCACCCCTAATGACCCTAGTGTAGTGACTGGTTTTTTGTAAAGGTGCATGTACCCTTAAATGACCCTCGTGTAGTGACAGGTGGTTTTAAGGTGACTTGCAGCCTTAATGACCCTATGTAGGACTGGTGTTTACAGGTGACTGCACCCTTTAATCCCCCTGTGTATGATGGTGTGTAAAGTGACATGTGCCTTAATGACCCTCTTTAGTGACAGGGGGTGTACAGGTGACATGCAGCCTTAATGACCCTCGTGTAGGACATGGTGTACGGTGACTGCACCTTAATCCCCTAGGTAGTGGGATGGTGTTGTACAGGGACATGTAGCCTTAAGCCCCTAGTGTAGGGATGGTGTTTTTAAGGTGACATGCCCTTAATGCCCCTAGTGTTGACGGGTGTTGTAAGGTGACATGCACCTTAATGCCCCTAGTGTTGATGGTGTTTTACAGGTGACATGCCCCTTAAAGCCCCTGTTTAGGGACTGGTTTGTACAGGTGACTGTACCTTAATGCCCCTGTGTAGTGACTGGGGTGTACGTACAGGCAGCCTTAATGACCCGGAATTTGCAGGGGGGTTTCGGGTGACATGCGCCTTAAATGACCCTCGTGTAGTGATGGTGTTGTAAAGGGGACATGCAGCCAAAGACCCTGTGTAGGAGGGGTGTTGTACAGGTGACATGTGCCTTAATGACCCTCGGGGTAGTGACTGGTGTTGTAAGGTGACATGCCCCTTTAATGACCTCTTTTGGTGCAGGTGTTTTTCAGGTGACATGCACCCTTTAATGCCCCCGTGTAGTGCGGGTGTTGTAAGGTCCCGAAACCCTTAATACCCTAGTGTGTGACGATGTTTACAGGTGCTGACCTTAATGACCCTGTGTATGACGGTGGTTACAGGTGACATGCAGCCTTAATGACCCTAGTGTAGTGACTGGTTTTGTACAGGTGACATGTGCCAAATGACCTCGTGTAGGATGGGTTGTCAGCACTGTAGCCTAATGCCCCTAGTTGTGACGGTGGTGTAAGGTGACATGAGCCTTAATGACCTAGTGAGTGACTGGTGTTGTCAGGTGACATGTACCTTAATGCCCTCGGTGTAGTGCTGGTGTTGTACAGCTAATGTAGTTTTAAGCCCCTTTTGTAGTGACAGGTGTTGTACAGGGGGGACATTAGCCTTAAATGCCCTCGTGTAGTGATGGTGTTGTACAGGTGACATGCAGCCAAATTGCCCTGTTGGACAGGTGTTGTACAGGTGACTGTACCTTAATGACCCCGTGTATGATGGTGTTGTACAGGTGCATGCAGTTTAATGCCCCTATGTGTGACGGGTGTTGTAAGGTGACATGTACCCTTTTAATGACCCTGTGTATGACAGGTTTTGTACAGGTGTTTATGTGCCAAATGCCCCTCGTGTGTGCGGGTGTTGAAAGGGTGACATGACCCTTTAATACCCTCGTGTAGTGACTGGTTTGTACAGGTGAATGTGCCTTAATGACCTCGTGTAGGACGGGTGTTGTCAGGTGATTTAGCCTTAATCCCCTGTGTAGTGACAGGTGTGTCAGGTGACATGTCCCTTTAAATGACCCTCGTGTGGGGCCTGGTGTTGTAAGGTGACATGCACCCTTAATACCCTGTGTAGGGGACGGTTTTGTACAGGTGACATGTAGCCTTAATGCCCCTCGTGTAGTGACTGGTTTTGTAAGGTGCATGACCCTTAATGACCCAGTTTTGGGACTGTGTTGTACAGGGACTTGTACCTTATCCCCCTGGTTGATGGTGTTGTACGGGTGACATGCACCCTTAAAATGCCCCTCGTGTATTGATGGTGTTGTAAGGTGACATGCACCCTTTAATGACCCTCGTTAGTGGGGTGTTGAAAGGGGGTGACGTAGCCTTAATGACCCTAGTGTAGTGACTGGTTTTGAAAGGTGACATCGCCTTAAAATGCCCCAGTGTAGTGCTGGGTTGTACAGGTGACATCGCCTTAATGACCCTAGTGTAGTGATGGTTTGTCGGTGACATCAGCTTAATGACCCAGTGTAGTGACGGGTTTTGACAGGTCATTACCTTAACCCCCTTTTGTGTAGTGACGGGTGTTGTACGGGTGCATGCACCCTTAAAAACCCCCTAGTGTGTGATGGTGTTGTACAGGGGACGCAGCCTTAATGACCCTAGTGTAGTGACTGGTGTTTAAAGGTGACATGCCCTTTTGCCCCTAGTGTAGTATGGTGTTGTACAGGGTGAATGCAGCTTAATGACCTGTGTATGACTGGTGTTGTCAGGTGACATGTACCTTAATGCCCTCGTGTATGACGGGTGTTTTCGGGGTGACATGCAGCCTTAATCCCCTAGTGTAGTGACTGGTGTTTTACGGGTGACATGCAGCCTTAAGACCCTCGGTGTGAGGGTTTTGACAGGTAATGTACCCTTAATGACCCTCGGTTGACTGGGGTTTTGTACGGGTGACAGTACCTTAATGCCCCTCGTGTTGACAGGGGGTTTAAAGGGTGACATGCACCTTAAGACTTCGTGTAGGAGGTTTTTGTACAGGTGCAGTAGCCTTAAGACCCTGTGTAGTGACTGGTTTTGACGGGTGACATGAGCCTTAATGACCCTGTGTAGGGGACTGGGGTTGTACAGTGACATGCAGCCTTAATGACCTCGTGTAGTGATGGTGTTGTACGGTACATGAGCCTTAAGCCCCTCGGTAGTGACGGGTTTTTTAAGGTGACTGTACCCTTTAATGACCCCTTTAGTGCTGGTGTTGTACAGGTGCTGACCCTTAATGCTCGTGTAGTGATGGTGTTGTACGGGTGACTCAGCCTTAAAGCCCCTCGTGTAGTACGGGTGTTGTACGCGTGACAGCACCCTTTAATGCCCTCGTGTAGGACTGGTTTGTAGCGGCATGCAGCCTTAAGCCCTAGTGTAGGACTGGTGTTGTCAGGTGACATGCACCTTTAATGCCCTCGTGTAGGGGACGGGGGTGTACAGGTACATCACCCTTTAAAAGCCCCTCTGTGGACGGTTGTACAGGTGACACAGCTTAAGACCCTCGGAAATAGATTTAATTTCCCTCCCACATACTTAAGGGGGATCACCAACAGCCCCTGGTTTGCCTCAAGAAGGCGCTGTTAGTCACCTTAAGTCAGTACCTGCCCCAACCGGGCTGTGGTTCTTTCGTCAGTTTGGGTGCGGTCAGCAGTAACACCGGGTTTGATGACCCGATCCACCACAAGGCCTTGTCTCAACCGAGCGCGGGGGGGGTTTACCCCCTTAAACCCTTCCAGGTAAACCACAAAAACCTTAATA